AAAAAAAGGAAAAAAAAAAAAAAAAAGGAAATTAAGTGGTTTGCTGTGGAAATAGCGTAGTATGTGCTTTTCATCTGAGTAACCCTTAGTCTGTGGCTGAACAGCATTCAGCACAATGAATCTTGTTTCACAAACAAGCTCTGGAATAATTCAGTTAAAAATGATCCATGTCCTTGTGAATCTCTTTACTTGAGATGAGTGAATTAACCCATAGGTCCGAAAGTCTTGGCGGCTGCTTTGTTTCCTAGATTACAGTTTGCTACAGATGAATGTGCTGCAGCCATTCATCTGCCTTTGGCTGGTGAACTTGCTCTGTCAAAGAATTTAACTCCCTGGATTCAATCCATTGGTCACTACTGGTTTGGTTCTGTGCTCTTTCATCACGAAACAACTATTTTCTTCCAAAATGAACATAAATGTGGCTTGGGATTCTGTCCATTGCCTGTGTGTACTTTGGACATTGCAAAACTTGGTGCTCTTTGCTGTATTTTGGTTCTGTAATATCAGAAAGCCCTTCTGCTTCCAACATCCATTCGCACTTTCATGCCATGCCTTAAGGCCACGCGATGCATTTGGCATCAGATGAATGATGTGTTTCTCTGGTGGATGGTGACGTCAGTATTTCAGGCATTTTAGCTTGAACTCTGTTTGATTGTGATCTCTCAGGGCCATGGTAGAGTCTGGAGAGATGAAGACAGGTTTTTAGGCATTGAGGGCATATGGAGAGTGCTAAATGTGAGTGGCATATAAGCCCCTGTGTGCTTGGCCTGGAAGGAATCATGCCCTGGAGCAGGTGTCTTTCACGACAGCACAGCTTTTGTGGGCTTGACTCAAGAAATAAAACAAGAAGGTGGCTTTGTATATCCTTTGCTGTGCTCCCTCCATGTGAAACTTCTAAAGAGATTAATACTTCACTGGAAGATCTGTAGGGCTCTGTGCATGGGAAGAGATTAAGATCTTAGATCCAGTGCTATTTGATATGAGCCCAGCCACTTATGGCCATAGGAAATCATTGCTGGGGAAGGAGCCTGCCATGCCTCTCTTTGCATTCCTGTCAGCAGTGGAGGAGCACAAGGATACCTGCTCAGCCCTGGACAGCAGGATGTGGAAGGATAAAGAGAGGGCTGGATGAATAATTGCACGCCTCTTGTATGGTGTATCCCAATGTAAGCCACTACTGCTCTTAGAACTTTTGGTTTTCTGAATTCATTTCCTATTCTTTCTCTATAGCAGTGGTCTTTTAAGGATTAATTTGCACCTGATGGTAATTCTGTAAAAATGCTAGATCTGTGCTTTCCCCTTCTCCTTTTACAAGAACAATGTCAGGAAGGTCAAGTCTGGGTTTGTTGGAAAGACCCCTGGTGCTACAGGGGTCATCCGTTGGCTGAGCTATGGGTGAATTAGGACATTTGTGAATGGCTGATGGTGGCGGTTAGCCATTCTGAAGCAAAAAAGCTGGTAACAAAATCCTATTCCCTTTCCTGTCCTTTGCTACTCTGTAAACAATCTCAAAGTCTCTTTTCTCAGCTGCAGGAGTTCAGTCTGTCTGTGGGGTTGCTTCACTAGCTTATAATCTGAATTAAACATGAAATGATCCCAAAACAACAATGGTTTCTCTAAAAAGATCCGTTGTTGATTCTTCCCTCCTTCGACCAGTCATAGAAAAGCTTAAAGAAGACATGCTCCCCTCTCTGCTTCTGGATTATCAGTTAACTTACCAGTTACCCATCTGTCTGCCTCCTTAGGGAGCCCTGCAGGGAGGCTCTGCCTAGCAGATGTGCTTGATCCTGCACTCAGCAAAGTGAGAACAGCTTAACACCTTCACCTGTTCACAGTTTCACAGCATCTGGGTAATGGTAATGTTCATTAGAAGCCAAAAGAACAGAATTCTCCCCTCCTCTTCCCAACCATTTGCTCTTCCCCAAAGGATTGAGTAGTTACTGATGTGTGTGTGTGTGTCTTGCCAGATCCTTATATGCCTGAGGTAATTTCTGAGGCCTCAAAGTGTGCCTGTGTTATTTTGAGGGCAGGGATATGTTCATCAGCATGGATTTCCTCTTTCAACACTGCTCTGCTCCAGTTGCAGTTGGGCTTTGTGTGTTTTTCAGATTTTTAAAGCATAGAGGGAAGGCTTAAAAACAAGAAAGCACACACATTTCTTGCTTTAGAAATAGCCTCGCTGTCTCTTTCCAGTCAAATGAGTGAGGTGCATTGCTGTTTTCAGTCACCTGCATTGCCTGCGTGTAGTCCTAGTTCTCAGCAGTGTAATTATTTCCTAATGTCACTTCTGAATGGCTCATGATGGGTTCTTATAGGAGTCCTGCTGTATGGCTGTAGATACTAAACTCCTTGGGCGTTGCTGAGCTGTAGAGGGTTGTATTCTGCTGCACTGGGTTTCAATGCTGCTCCCAGAAAAGCACGTGCACTTGTCCCCAGTGGTCAGTTGTAAAATGTCAGTGAAGTCTGAAGAAAAAACATGTGCTGTTAGGGTCTGACTCTTCCCTATGACTTGTCTGCTCCTGCTGACTGCTCACATTCAGGAGTGGCTCAGACTTTTCTTGGCATCATCTCTCTTCGTTGCAGGCCACTGGTTATGTGACAACTAGCACTGATAAGGAAGGTCCAGGTGTGTTATGGACTGCTAGGATCTTTGTTCTAGTAGGAACCCTTTATGGCTCTGTGGGAGAAAGAGCTGGATTTCCCCCTGCTTTGGGTCAGTGTGAGCCAGATCTCTTCCAGAGAACACGGTTTACTTGCAGCTCATGTGACCTACAGATTGTGGCCCACAGGTGCAGTGATGTGAGGGACCTGATGTGAAGCAGAAGGCAGTGCTCTTTGAGCAGCTGGAGTACATGCTGAGGACTTGTGATCTATCTTTCTGCCCTTCCTTTCCCCCCGACTGGAAACACTGTGTGGTTTTCCTCCAAGGCCCGTGATCCAGCTTGACTCACTGGTGTGAATGATTACCATTTCTAGTATTGTTGCTTGGGGTGCTGGGAGGCCGCCGGAGGATTGCTTGTTTCTTTCGTGACTTCATCATTCCTCAGAATGGGACTAAGGGTTACATCAGAAAAATGTTTGTGATCTCCTGTGTGCAGAGCCTAGGAAAGGTCGGGAGAAAAAGCCACTTGGGGTCAAACATTCCCTTGCTCTGAGCCAGCATCCTGCTGGGGGTAGATTTATGTCTTTGGGGATGATTTCTACTGTTCTGCATGTTTCAGATGCAAATCTTACGACCTTGCAGGCTACACAACTGTCTTTGCTTTAATGTCTGATAAGGCATACTGAGAAAATAAAAAGTCACTTCTGAAAAAAGAATCTGGGCAAAAAACTGGATAAGTAGCTCTTCTAGGGAGCAGAGGTAGAAGGAGGGGGAGATCATCAGTCCAAAGCTGCCTGCACCTAGTAGC